GAACGCAAGTAAAAAATGTTACTTGGATTGTTCAGGTAATCTTTTACATATTTGAATAATTATAAACCTATATATCAATAATTCAACCCTTTTCATCTTAATAATGACATAGGAATTTAAAACTAAATTTATTTATTTCAACTATTACAGCTAACATTACAGGAAATTTATATAACCTAATGCGTTAGTGAGGCACTCTATAAGATATGTATTTATATTTACACAACTAACTTAACCACTTTTAACATCAAATTAACAATACCTAGGGTAATAACAAAAACTTAACACTAGAACTATATCTATAAAATAATCTTTGCGAGTTCACTTAACTGACACGCAAATATACCTATTATATGTAGTCTGGATTTGGTTAATCGTCCGAATTGCTCGCGTCAGAGGCGTTTTGCCCAATAGGTTGGTCCTAGCAGCAGTAGGCGCCGGCGCCTTAACACATAGCGGTTCAGAACACAAAAGCTCAAGAGCTGCAGCACTCTGGGGTTGTATTGCTTGTCGTGGAGTATTTTAATTAGGTAGACGACCAGTGTGAATTGTCACCGCACCCCCAACTCATTGTACGACACTATACCTGGTACAAATGAAATAAATAAATACATTTCTATTTATTTTAGGGTTTCGTCAAAGTGGAGTCTCATGATGAGAAAGGTGAAATAGTTGAAACTTACTATGGCCCCGGTACTTTATTGTCCATAGCTGCTGTATACTTCGGGAAAGAATCAGTCAGATCTTACACTGCGTATACTGATTGTGAGGCAAGTAAAATTAATACAATATTAATTTTTTGGACAATATCAATAACCCATCTATGAGTACAGATCTATAAATTTGATTGTTAGAGATAGAATTTCGAGCTTATTTGTTGTATTAACTCATAATTATTATGTTATGTGTTCAACATTTTCTTTTTTAGACGATATACATACCAATAAATAAATTTTATGATATCTACAAAAAATATACATTGGAATATGAATATTTGCAAAATTGCGTCAAAGAATTCACACCAATGGTTGACGAAATGTTCCGAAATTATTTGTTGCATCGGAGAGATGTAAGAAAACCATAATTATATTAAAGTTTTAAATGAATTATATTTATTTTCTCAATTTAAAAGTGAATTTATCCAAATTTTCAGTATCAACAAAAATTAAGGGACAGAATTAATAGTACAAGAATGTCAATGATATCGACGGCAAAAGTGATTCCTGAATTACATCAAAATCGTTCGTTGCCGTTCGAAGGTGATTTCTGGGGAGATCCGGAATCTGCGTAAGATCTTTGATTTGCGTTGTATTGCATAACTTATTTGTGGTATGAGTCCATATGACTCCTGGCTAAGTACGAAAGAATGTTCGCAACCGGAAAATTCATTATCTTGCCATAGTACTTAATTTTGCCATATGACTTTTTTCATTGTTTCTACATTTATACATAATGTTGAGAATTGAGAAAGTCCTATAAGTTACAAAAGTAGATATTTAATTTTGTGAACACTGATTGTAGTGATAAGAATTAATAAAGATATAATTAACACAGTTCTTTTTATTGAGTAAGTAAGCTGGTAAACGGGCACACGATGATCCGTATCAATTGATCTTGATGGTAAGCAATCGGCGTCGCCCAAAAGACCAGAGGTTACCGGCCTCCGGTCAAACCGGGCGGCCCATTCGTGCCGAAAGCATGGCTGTCCCACACTTAATACTTTACTGTACAAAGTCAAAAACATTTACAGATTTATGCAAACTTGGTTGATGTTCCGAACTGTTGTCGTATATGTCTCTATCTCGTCTGCTGCTGTCTTGGGTAAGCAGGCAAACGTTTATTATTTACCTATTTACATTTATTTATTAAAAATGACTGCCTCGTTGGCCGAGTGGTCGTAATTGCGACTGCCGGGTAAGGGGTCTCGGGTTCGATTCCCGGGTCGGGCAAAGTATTACTGGGTTTTTAAAAAATTCTCAGTAGTAGCACGGAGTCTGGAACTGTGCCCGGTTATTACATGGGACTCATAACATAAATAGTGAAAAGTGGGTGTTACATTGTACAGTGGTATAATGTGCACCTCTGCCTACCCCATCGAGGATAAAAGGCGTGATGTTATGTTTTATGTATGTGTTATTAAAAATAAATCGAAAATCTACATAGTTTAACTATTCAAGGTGGTATTGGAGCTGTATCGCGATGGGTGTTTACAATGATCAGCGCTTTCTGTGATTGCATCGGCTGGATCGATATTATCCTAAAGTTATTCGTAAGATCTCAGATCACACTATGAATTCCTTATTTTGATTTTTGATTTGTGAAGTTAATTTTGTATGTATTCATTACAGCTCGCATATCACGATGATCGTGGTATAATAATAACAAATACAAAGAAATGTCTAATAAATTATATATCCAAAGCATTTATTTTGGATCTTATCGGTGTTATTCCTGTGTATGAAGTTTTAAAAGCTTTACTATCAGCAGATATTGATGATGATACAAGCTTCCTAATAAATACTGTGTGCAAATTTGCGCATATTTACATTTTATTTGCGTATTTTCAATATATTAGTGATCTCCCGACGGTGAACGGCACTTTGATTAATGTACGTATGGTTATAGATTCAAAACGATTGTAAATAGGTTTTCATTTTGTTTATTCTGTAAAATTGTTTCAATACAGTTCAAATCTACATTATTAAAGAACATTTAATATTTTAGTTTCACATACAATGTTTTTATATGTAACATGTCTTCTATCCTCAGATAGTAAAATGGCAATTAGTGAACAGTCTTCTAGTACTGGGTGCAAGTCATTATTTCATGGTTGTCTGTGTAAAATACGAATTTAATGAAAGAAATATGGAGTTGCTTTCTGTCACTCTTCGTGATACTTGCTGGATGCCCGATGTTATGACGATGCCTTTCAATTTGAGTTGGAATGATTTGCATTTGGTAATTGATGTCATTATTGTTTTTATCTGCCTTGCGTCACCATAGATGGGGATAGGGCCGATGCCGATACGGAGCCGTGGAGAACTTAACGGGTTGCCGGGGCTCCGGCAGTGCAAGTGCAGGAGTAGGAACGGGGTGGTTTTTAGTCAGTAAGAGTCTGACACTCCCTCCCGCCTCACCCGGGCGGGAGAGGCCATAGGATGATTTTCCCCCCTCAAAAAAGGTCCTATATTGCGTAAAGAGATCATGTTAAAATGTAATGACAATTTTGTTTTCTCAATCACTTCACGTTGATAACAATAATTTATAATCTAAATCAAATTAAAATGATCACACAGATATTCGCAGAAAGTTTGAGCCTTGCTGAAAATGGTATGATGGGATTGAATTATGGAAGATTCCTAGTTGACAACAGAAATATAGGAGTTGGACTCTGTCTATTCGTGATCGGGTTTATATTTTGGTAAGTACAAAGAGCGGTGAACGTAGAGTTGTGCCCTCCAGCTATCTGGCGTGATGATATCCGTAAGGTGGTTGGCAGTAATTGTGTCCAAGAGCTGAAGATCGATCTTAGTGGTGGAGAACCCGTGTGCCTTATTAGCATTTTTGAAAGACTAAATACATAATATTATACATACTATGATGGCTAAGTTTTATTCTAATAATAAAGCGTTCATTTCCGAACTTTTTTGACATTAGACAGACAAATTAGAAAACCAATTCCGATGTAATCCATTATGTTACAAAAAGTCTTTCAGCTCAGTCGGCCTTACAGCAAAGGCCTCCTCCAACTCTTTACATTGTCTTCAATCAGCCGCCACTCTGATCCAGAGAGGTATTTAAAGTCATTCTCAGGTCATCCTCCCATCTTCTCTTATTACGAACTCAGCTCCTAGTGCCGTCTCTTGGGTACCATGTTGTCACCTAAGTCTTATTACGAAGAACAAAGAAAAATACAGTAAGAAATTGTAGTTTATTTTTTTTTTATTTAAGGTTCATATCATGTCACGCTTTGACCCTCTTAGTGTTGGACGCACGCGGAGACTTTTTATTTCAACATGCCGTTAACCAACTCGACAGGTTTCTTACATCTGAAAGAGTTGATGAAACAATTATCCAGAAAGCTATGCAACATTTTAGATATTGTTGGGTAAGGTGAGTAGCCGCATACCTAACTACATCGAGTTTTCTTATTTTCCAATGTATTACAAAAGTTCACTTATTAACTTGTGTTATAAAACTCATTTTATAGAAAGACTGCCTCGTTGGCCGAGTGGTTGCAACTGCGACTGCCGGGCACGGGGTGTCGAGTTCGATTTCGGGGTTGGGTTAAGTACTACTGGGTTTAAAAAAATCGCAGGGGTAGCACCAAGTCTGGAAATGGACCCGGTACATGGCCATAGGCTCACCCCCTATTACATGGGACTCATAACATAAATAGTGAAAAGTGGGTGTTACATTGTAGCATTAAGTGGCGTAATATGCACCTCTGTCTACCCCTTCACGGATAAAGAGCGTGATGTTATGTTATGTTGTTATTAAAAGATGAATGAGGATCTATTCTCAAATGGATCACAAACCGCTAAGTTTGGCCATCAACCGTAGGGATTGCTTTAATAAAGCAATAGTAGTTCCTAGTTAGTAACTTGATGTACTTATCTCATTTTCAGAACAAAGGGCATTCATATGAATAAACTAACAAATGAAGGCATTGGTGTTGTGTTTCGACAGGACCTAAACTACTTCTTCTATAAAAAGTAGGTTGTTAAGTGAAGTTGTTTATAATAGAGTGATTTATGCAAAATTTTGGCAAAAATTTGATGCCTAATTTTGGCAAAAAGGAAAATGATGATTTTCGCACATACCTATTTACAACTACATACGACTAAAATAAAGCCTAAAAGCCACAAATTTTAATAAACCTAATATCATACCACTAAAAATATTGGTTCGCAGGTTCATTTTGTAGTCGACTTTCTTTAAAAAAGAGCTTTTAATAATACCACAATAATTTAAATACCTATAAACTTCATTTTTCCTAGGACCTTCAGTATTTTGGATACTATAATCAAAGGCGGTGAGGCGATGCAGAGACAGTTGGCTAGCGTCAGTACACAAGCGTTCTTCCTAGGAGGACACGACATTATCAGGGAAAACGATCTCGTAACTTACTTATGTGTTGTACATCGTGGGAAAGTCATATTAACGAAGAAGAATAGGAAACTGATTGTTCTTACAAAGGTATTAATTTCATTTTCTCAACGGTAGCATAATTGTTTAACCGACCAAAGGCACAAGGCCAGTTCGACCGGAGTGATAACACGGCCTCACAGAAACCGACGTGAACCAACACTTGCGTTGTGTTTCGTCATGTAAGTGGGGTTATCGGAGGCCTAATTACCCCCCTCCACAATCTCTCCAATCCTTGAAAAGACCGGTAACGCACGTATAACACCACTGGTGTTTCGAGTGTCTATGGATAATGCCGAATGCTTACCGTAATGCTCAGGTGATCCGTCTGCTCGTTTAACGGCTTATTCCATAAAAAAACAATTTGCGACTTAAAAGTTTTTATTTGTACCATACACATTAACGCCTTCATTTACCTTAAACTCTGCTGGCAAGGTAAGAAGCCTTAGCATAGCACATCTTATAAGACTCCTTATTATTTCTCCAGGGTGATATATTTGGTCAGCTACTAGGCACAAGAAAGCGGCCTATACGTGTGACGGCAACGGCTGAAGACAAAGTCGATGTTCTGTATATTGAGATAGATGCATTTCAAAGCATTATCACTGAGGAGGTATGTATAATGCTTCATAGATATATTCGAAGGTCTTGTTGGTCAAGTGATCCCAAGCGCCATTAACAAGCAAAGGTCGAAGAGGTTTGATTCTCAGGTTCAGGCAAAGCTTTAATAACATTATTAGCAATAGCTCGTAATCTGTATCCCACAAATAAACTCATTCATTAATTACATAGCTTATTAAAGGCGGGAATTCGATTTTAAGCTTATGTGCATTTTTTGTAGCCCTGAGGGAATTAAATAGAGCTATGTTCATATTTAAATAAAATTCAAGTTTTGGTTTTACAATATTTTAGGTGCGACGTACAATTATGCGTAATCCGCAACAAAAGAACGATTTTCTGGCTACAAAGTACGTAACTCTTGAGAATCCATATGACACAGTTAAATATCTTTTACGAGGACGGAAGACGATTAAACTACCGGTAAAATATTCCAACTTGTTTTGTAGTAAAAACTCATCTGCATTTTATATGTTCATATTGGGGCCTACCGTATATTTGCTCAGCAGATGGCACTTGTGTACACTCTGATTCTTGGTCCAATAGGGAATTATCTAGTGTCATACCATTGGACGTTCAATATTTGACAGCTACTGTAATTGGACAAAAAACTCTTTCCTACCTCTACATTTGCACCAACTGGTGAGCAAAAAAATATGTATTAGCCCCATTATGAAGGTCATAGGAAGCCGGTGGATACGCAAGTAGGTTAACCAATCAACTTCTGGAAGTCATCGAGAGATGACAATGTGCTGTAGGGGACGTCTTGCGTCTTCTTTATTTTTTTAAAAGCGATGCCCCCTATAATCTTTTCTCCTGTATCGTGGGTTACGAAGATGATGATTCGATAGCTGACAAACGTAATAAATACGAAAGACTGCTTAGATACTGACCATTTAGACGCCTAGTTATATCCACAATGAACATATAAATTTTATGTTAAAACGTCAATACACTACAAGACCTTTAAAAATCTAAACGTGATTTCTTTGTTGCAGTGGAACGATTTCCCAGTCGAAGGTAACAACAGCACATGGTACTCACATTTCTTGCACCTCACGTGGTTTGTCGGCCCCTTCATCACCACCGTTTGTGTCAATTCGTTCGTCGTCCTACCAACTGGTCACAACCTGTGGTACAGAGTCTATATTATACTCTTTATATGCGACGTGATTCATCTGGCGAACTTCATTGCTGATTTTTATTCAGTAAGTATTTTTGTGTCTTAGTGTTTTTGTTTAAGAATTTTTGATTTTTATGATTATGTTTATTCTCATAAAAGAAAAAGTTTAAAATTGATCTCAATGTTTTTTGATTTCGCTCTGGAAATATTTCGAATTTTAATATTGGTTGCGCAACGAAGTCAGGGATGAGAAAAAAAAATGTAAGACAAAATTAAAAAAAAAAATCAGTTTAGCACACTACCATAATTATATGTATTTAAAATTAATTTTAACCATTATTATAATAAATAGTAATTTAAAACAGGTATAGAAGATCCAACAGTCGAACTATTTATATATAGTTTTGTTGGACATGGCATTAGATTGTAAGGCATATCATGTACCTTTATTATTTGCTGCTTTTGAAAAATTATCCCGTAGTGATTTAAAGATAATAGAGTTTTTCTCAAATATTTGACGTGATTTAACCATTCTTTTTAATTAAGATTCTTATTCATTGTGCAATTTACTTGCAGATCGAGCTAGTTGTAGTACAAAATAAATGTCAACATCAGAGAGTTGGTTGGAAGAAACTAAAAGACTGGGCCCTGTATCTGGACCTACTTAGTTTTTTGATTCCACTTGGTACAGTCTTCCACAATGATTGGAGATACCAGTACGCGAGGATGTTGCGATTGAAGTATTTCTTTGACTACGATTATCATTTCTGTAGAGGTTTCAAGGTAACAATAATAATTATTAGATCTATCACATGAAGCTAAGCTAAAGTGTCAAAATATGCTATTGTCATTTTCAACTTTGTTGTTTTGTAATAAAGTTTTGTTTAATTTTAGAGAAGCATGGCGCCAATACTTTTGAAAATAGCGATCTTGGTTTTGGTCATCCATTGCTTCACTTGTGGTTGGGTGTATATCGCTTGCAGACGGAGTAAGTTGTCTATACTATATTATTTACATGTATAAATATTTTTTATTAAAGTACTGTATTTGTGTTACTAACTTTGACTATCTGTGCTACCTTTTATATGTTACAGAGGGTAAATTTCCCATTCCTATCAGGGATATGCGTGATATGGTCCGCACTATTGATTTCAGTCAATGGACACATCCTGACGATAGAGGCGAAGGTAAACACCATTACGATATTTTGATATAAGTTACTAAATAATAGCAGCAGCTCACTTCACTAACAAGTAATACAACAGAATTAAGTTCCATAACGATCACAATTACTCAGACAATAGCCAAATGATACTAGAGTCGTTCCCGATTCTTAGCAATGACTTGAGATCTGATAATAAAAAAAATCCACGTATTACCTATTATGCTGACTCTAAATAACTAGAGATAATTGTAATCCTTTTGTTATTATTATCTTCAATATTAATAGTTTCGTTATTTATTAGGTTGTGCGCGAGTCACCAAAGATATTCGAGATGAGGAAGACCCAGCTGTGTTTATTCCTACCTTCGTAGTCCCCAAGTATTGGCCCTATGATTACATCATAGCTTTGACGTATATTCTACTTATACATACTCACACCAATATTGATACTGTAAGTGGCTGCAATGTTCATATTTTAATAAACTTACCACATGTCAGTTGAAGTTCTTTAAATAGAAGGATATTCAATAATAGTAGCATAGGTTTCCCAATGTTGCTGATTAATGTGTTTTCTTTAACCCATACCTAAAAATGGCAAACACGACAAAAATAATTATCAAATTTGCTCCAGTAGTTTTGGAACTTATGTGCGTGTAGATGTGTCTGCAATTCATTTCTATTTATCTATACCTATAGATCTATTTAAGTCCTCAACTTATCTTCTTCTCTAACTATAAATTAACACAATTCTATGTATCTTTATAGATAATACCACTATCAATAAACGAAGTATACTACAAAGTGTTTACTACATTCATTCTACAACTATTAGATATCTACATAATGGCTCTCGCTATAAACGCAGCCTATACCAAGTATCGAGAACTGTATCGGTATAATTTCTCTATCAAAAATATGCTTATTTATTTGACCGACTCGGGACTTAGTAGATCTTTGTCGGATAATGTTTGGGCTTATACTGTGCAACTGTGGAAAAGACAGAAAGGTAAGTTATTCGTTTACTTGTTCCTGTAACAGCTTTGGCATCTTCAAATGCTCATACTTTACATTTATCACAATCGTTCATATTTGCATAATGTCGTTCATAGCTATCACTCTTAAGACAAAAATTTCTACATTTAAAATGATATTCTTTGTGGGTGCGTTGATCCATCCTGGAATATTTTTTATGATTCTTTTGAGATGACAAATATTCATACTATCAATGCGCAAATAGTCTAGTAACATTTTTTTTTGGTGGTAAGCGGTAATGCTGTCTACGATGGAGCACGTCGTCCCATATGCGACCTATTCACTCAGGCCTTGAAAACACCCTATATAACATTACAAAATTCTAAATAAATCTTCTTTTAGTCAAGATAACCATCGACTACGACTCCCTTCAATTTGTGATTGTTTAAATTTGTTTTCATTTCTATTGATTTTATTGTGTGAAAATATCATAATACATGTAGTTTCTGTATTATCAGGTGACAAGCTACCAGACCTAGCTTACCAGTGTCCCCCATGTTTACGTCAAGATCTGTTTTCTGCACTTTACATACATCACCTTGATGCGCCTCCAACATTTCGTATGTTGCCTGACTATTTCAAAAAGCAACTGGCTGCGAAGTTGCAAAGGAGGGTCATATTTCCTGGTAAGTCTTGAATTTGATAATGTCCAAGTTGTTTGGCTTAACCCGTCGAGCGTCCGCCTTCCTTATGATCCAACGGGTGCACACGTGACATTTAGAGAAAGAAAGAAAGAAAATGCATTTATTTTGCCATTGGCACACGAAAACAAGGATCATTACAATAGAAATAAAAAATTCAGTCAAAATAAAAACAAAACATTAATAATAGATTTTATAAAAGAGAAAGCAGCATGGAGCATTTTTTCTTATGATCCACCGGGTGCTCATAAGGACGCTCGAGGGGTTAAGTTTGTTGGTTTGATACCTGGAATATGTCGATGATAATTTTTCTATGTTACATCATAATGTCTATGAGCATGTACAGGAGTGGAAGGAAATGTGATAATAATTATTTTGGTGATGGTTTTTATAAACTTACATCTTGAACTCTGTAAAGAAAGTTATCAAATAGTGGTCTTTGCTCGGTAATGAAATGGGTCTTATTGAAGATTAGCTGTTGCCCGCGACTTCGTCCGCGTAGAATATGATTTTTAGGACTTAATTTTTGACCAAATATCAATGATGATATCAATGACCAAAATAAAACTAGCCTATGTTACTTCTTAGTACGTCAGCTAACTGCCAATAAAAGGCCCGTCAAAATCAGTCCATTCATTCCAGAGATTAGTCAGTACAAACATACAGACAGACATATTTATTTATCTCCAATTTTATTTATCTGTACAGATGTAGAGGTATAAGTAGATAATGTTCTTTGAGTACCTTAAAATAAGGATCAGCATATAAGATTATTTAATTTATTATTTGCAGGGAAATGCATTGTAAGAGAAGGAGATACTTTCAACATTACTTACTTTATCCACGAGGGAGAAGTTGAAAAGTGGTACATCGATAAATCGTAAGCGTATTTTGATGTAGTAACTTAGATTTAAAATTTTCGCAGCCACTGATTCAGAAATAGTGTAAGTATGTGTGTGCGTGTGAGAGAGAGAAGAGAGAGAGAAAGAGAGAGAGGGAGAGAGAGAGAGAAAGAGAGAGAGAAAGAAAAAGAGAGAAAGAGAGATAAGAAGAGAGAGGGAGAGAGAGGGAGAGAGAAGTGAGGGAGAGGGATTGTAATTGCTTTGTCGTTTTAAGCCAAGGATACACTAGGCGACAAATATCGCACGTCATGTTTCGGCAACATCTCAAGCGAAGCTAGTCGATTTCACCTGACATATATGGCGACAATGCGTGACTCATGTTCACTGCGTGTTGCCAGACATGTCGACCAAAGTCCGGCAACGTCGCGCTACTTCACCCAACGTCGCTGTCAATACGTGACGCAAGATATTTGTCCACTAGTGTTTTAAGCATAATGTATCGTGTGAGTGTTTATATGCAAATATATATCCTTATCATTTCCAGCGGTGAAAATAAGCTAATGTCAGTGCTATATACAAATGGGTACTTTGGCTGTATGTCGGGTTTGTTCGTCAATGTCGGATTCCATTTCACTTACTACTCTCGAACTGTAAGTATTCCGCATTTAAGGGACACTGTCCACAGTGTCCACATTGCGTCATTTGAAGAATGCATGCAACCTTTACAAGCAATACTTTTCAACAAATAAATGACACATGCTTGCCTAAATTGGGTACTTGCCCCAATCAAAAATAAATTATTTCGACTGTTCAATACAATAATGTAATAAAAAATAATCAAACTTTCATTCATTGATTTTATGACCAATTAATTTTAGTATTATTCCAGCAAATTTTTAAGAAATAAGTATGCTGTTTGACGCTAAAAAAACGTGACGTCACAGTACACAATCTCGTATTAAAGTTCATAGAAAACTGTCGTTATTGACAGTTCGAAAAAAGTATTTATTTTAAATAATTGGTAAGTAACCAATGCGATCGCGGCGATGGCACGGCATTGTGCTCATGATGAAAAGCCCCTCTGTGACTCGAAACTAGTAGAGCTTTTCTCGGTATTTTCACGTGAGTAACCCGCGATTTTGAGTTAATTTTGTATGTCTAACGCAAATACTAACAATCACTTTCCTTTTGTTGAGAAAAAACTAAAACTGTCAACGAAGCGACAACGTTAAGCCTATTGCTTGTGAAGGATGCATTGCATGCATTCTTTAAATGACACAACGTGGACGTAAATATAATTATCTTTTATGTAGTCATTACACTGACCAAACAATACTTGAAATCAATGAACACGAAAATTCTTTTTGATTAAGGGTTTATTTCAAAATGTTTGATTTAGTTCTTGCTTGAGTTATTTAATTTGATGTATAATTAATTCCATGTGAAAAATTTTCACTATATTTTCCACAGGTGGTGGATTTAGTTTATTTAGATCTAGATAATTGGCTAGATTTATTGACTTCATACCCAGACATAAAAGCTATGCTTTATGAAGCTACTAGAAATTTGAAGAAAGATCATACCAAGAAAAAATAATGTATTTGGTAGATTATTATTACATAATATAACATGACATCACGCCTATTATCCCCGAAGGGCTAGGCAGAGGTGCACATTACGTCACTTAATGCTACTGTAAAATGTATCACCCACTTTTCACTGTTTATGTTATGAGTCCCAGGTAATAGGGAGTGAGCCTATTGCCATTTCCAGGCTCCGTGCTACTAATGAGTTTATTTAAATACCCATTAATACTTTGCCCGACCCGGGAACCGAACCCGAGACCCCCTTTTTATGTTTGATGGGTCGACGTTTGACCACTATTCTAGTGGTAAGCGATGATGCGGTCTACGATGGAGAACGTCGACCCATAAGCAACCTATTAAATGGGCATATACCTTGCCCGGCAGTCAAACTTGCGACCACTCGGCCAACGGGCAATCATGTGTGTACTTATTATATCAATTATATTTACTTTTTGACTATGAAGGATGCACTGTACTTATTAATATTGTTATTTAAGGTTTATTTAGTTAGGTAGTATACAAAAATTGTGCAACCTGTATACGGAAATATTTTGTAATAATAGTTTTTTTGTATCGAAATCGTATTTATTTGTGATGTTTTAATACTCATAGAATCATGTATAATGTGTTTTATACCTTCATCTAATATATTGTTAATTTTAGGTGATACTGATTTTGTGCGAATATTTATATTATTATTGAACGTCAAAATTCCATTTGTCGACATAAACTTTGTACCGTGCTGTGACAGTTTACTATATTTATATTAAAACTTTCGTGAGACATACTCAATTAATTATTATGTTTATTACTCATGTCATTTGACGAGGAACTCGACTAGTTTCAAGCCATGCTAAAGACTCATATTTATGAGCAGAATTTCGCAACCCGCGACGCGGCGACTGTTGCGCTGCTACTTTACTGGCTGCGCGTTGTAATATTTTGTATCAAATAATTATGTGAGTAAGCTAAAAAATATAATAGTTAATTCTTTATAAAAAATATTTCAATTATGTTTTTAAATAATTATCTTATATTAAACTTTATGATAAACGGTTTATTGAATCAATGAGCAGCAGAATTTTTGATACCACAAATCAGGCCTAAAATATTGTTAGCCTTGTATTTAAATTGATATAATTATAGGAAGTTCTGTACATGTTTTTTGTAATTAATTTTATTTGTTACTTAATAATATTTAAATTAATTTTAAATTTGTGTCATTTTAATCTTAATTTAATGCCCATTTTTGTAATAAATATAATTGTAATTACAATGAAAATCTTTTATTTTTTAAATTGGACTCAATTTTGTTTTATGGAATAGGAGGTAAACGAGCAGACAGATCACCTGGATGATAAACGATCAGCGCCGCCCATGGACACACCCGCAACACCAGAGGAGTCGCCATCACAGTTATCTGCACTCATAACAGAGATAACACAAATCTACAGTATAACTAAAAAACTTTCAATAAACCAAACAAAAAAAAATCCTAATAACACAAGTAAGTAAAACCATACACAAAACAAAATTACCAGGACAACATACCAGTGTAATACAAGTTCTAAATGTTTTATCATACTCAAGTCTGTCGCATACACACTCCACTGAACAAATTGTGTGTTACTCCAGGTTCATTTTACGTTTCCAACAGTAACATGCTCTCACTACCTTTGTATTTGCCCAGATTTAAACTTGAAACAAAATATTTCTACCCACTCTAAAATATGGCAGCATTTTGTTCATATTTTTCTGGTTGGAAATTGTTAATGTGTCTTTTAGAATGAAACTTGAGGTTACTTCTTGGGAATGAGTCGGTGTACCCAGTTTATTCTCGTTTCAAATATTTTTTATGCGACTTAGGTTTGATTTTACATACTTATATTTCCATTATTTTTAGCTGTGCTGATAAATTTGTCAAAAATGCCATGCGTCGAAATCGTGATAGATATTTGAACGGGGCTCATAGTCCAGCAGTGTCACGTTCTATGAATTATGATGATGGATGTAAAAAAAAAATAAGAATACCCCGTGTTTACTAATTGTCTCGTTTTCTGATAATTTCATGTATTTTACAGATTAGTTAGTACTTATAAGTATTATTTACGATCAAAAGACGCATTTTACGCTTAGGTATAAGTAAAATCATCAACTCATTGTGAAATTATGGTCAGGCTAAATTAATAACACAAGAACTTCTGTCACTTTATTTAATCAGAGGTTAAACCCGACATGACCTTAAAGCAAGTACTAACGCGACTGCTAAATGAAATTAATTCCCGCCACATCGTGAAAGTGTTCCATTTTATTATTTTAAGGTGCTAACAATATCTCAGTTGTCGAGCCAGAGGGGAGAGGATCTTCTTAAAAGCAATTCCGCTTTGTGAATTTTTCATCGCATTATGGAAGCCATAAACGTGGTTGATATATTTTTATTATTACCACGTTATGGCGATGAGGTTAATAAAAGAAATTATTACAATTACAACTTCATTTTATCGTTGAATTAAACGCGTATGAACTTGTCTTGTGGTAATAGGTTTTTATTTGTAGGATAATTTTCCGATGTTCTTTTGGTGAGTGGGGAATTTTTCATTTTGTTTCTCGCATTGAAAGTATAATATTTTGTTCTGTATGAAATGGATTTTACCTTTATGTGAATTGGAAAATAAATACACATTCATAATAATTAATAACATATTTTTTATGGCATAAGCCGGTAAACGAGCAGACGGATCAGCTGATGGTAAGCAATCGGCGTCGCCCCTTGGGCGACGCCTGGAACACCAGAGATGTTACTAGTATGTTACCGGCCTTTTGGGGATTGGGAGGATCGTTGGGGATTCAGGAATTCGGGAAATTTGGGAAGGGGAGGGCAATTGGGCCTCCTGTAACCTCACTCACATGACGAAACCACGCAAGCGTTGCTTCACGTCGGTTTTCTATGAGGCCGTGGTATCACTCCGGTCGAGCCGGCCCATTCGTGCCGAAGCATGGCTCTCCCACTTAAAATACATATTCACATAAAATACATTTCAAGCAACAATGTTTATTCTATACAAGTTTAAAATTACCCTCAACATTCACTATTTGAGATAGAGTACTAAATCTCAAAATAACTATGTTTGAATCACGTGTAACTTGTAAGTTGTTAAAGATTTTACCGAAGCTCTAAACTTGGAGTGCTCCAACTTTATCGTTAGTTTACTACTGGAATTAACACTTGTTTTTCCTCACTTGCGATCGTACTTCAGCACTTCTTCTATCTGAGTGTGTTTACATCATGTCTACGTGATGTCTACGCGATGTCTAAATAGTGTCTACGCGATAACTAAACGCTGTTTACGCGGTATTTAAAAAAATTCGTATTGTCACGGTGTCTATGTTTTACCTCTGTTTATTGGGACCAAAAGAGTATCTACAAATATAACGTACAGAAAAATTATATTGTCA